AAACGACACGCAAGACAGATACGATGCAATAGTCCATCGAACCCGAACTCGATCAATGATAAATACTGTTCGAGAAGCGAGAATCGAACAGCGGCGCCGAAAGTTTGCGTTCACGGATCGCCCTCGACGTGTGTCTTCTATAAATTCCAACGAGAGCTGGAACGTCCCCTGGAAACCACTTTGTTTTACAACTCGACACCCGTGCCTCGTCTCTATGCGTACGCACGCGCGTTTGCACGCTCGCTCGCTCGTTCGCCTGCTCGCCAGAGCGCGCGCGAGTACTCTTTGCACACAGAGATCGGCGTGTACCGGCTGGTAACCCGCGTCGACGTTCTACACAGAGCACGCGCTGCGTTCAATGTAAAGCGTTAAAACGCTACGTGATCGAATTCGACAAGCGACCGGACACTCGCCACTCCGAGCCACCATTTCGCGCTCGTCGCCGGAATATCAAGCAGAGAGATCGTTAGAAACGTTTCAGAATTAAGCGTGCCGTTTGCCCGAGGGCCCCTCGCGCCCTCCCGGCTATCGATTAGAATGGAACGCGATTCCCGCTCGGTGAAACTTGGTTAATGGAAATTAGCCCAGCGACTCGCGCCACCGTACCTTGCCCGCGATCCTGAATGACAATGCTACACCGTATTGGAATTCGCAACTTCGATTCGCAAGTTCGAGACAGCGACGAAAGTGGTCGTGGACATTTCATCTTGAAGCCAGAAATGGAAGTACATGCTCTTGGTAACGGCTAAAGAACTACGTACGTGTGTTCTCAATTTAAAATTCAAAGTTCAGAATTTCTGGCAACGACCAAGCATCGAAGCACCAGGGATAGTTTTTTGTTTAAAATTTAATAAACATTGCCATCTGAGGTATATATCAGTTTGCGTCGTGAACGATTGCAATCGCAACTTGTTCCTTATTACAGTGACAGTGACTCCTCGGACAGCAAGAGAGCAAATCGTTCCTCTCGCCTCGCTGCGATGACTGGTTAGGAAATCCCATTCATTCGGCATATTCCGACGTCTTCTCTCTCCTTCACGAAAGTCACGTTTCGAGAATTCACGAAGGTGTGCGATCTCCCACCCCTACGCAACAACGACGACGACGACGACGACGAGCGCACGAACACGAACCGTAAGGTGCTCTCGATCGAACGCCGGCTATTTTGAATACTTTCCCACAGGCTCGCGGCGAAAAATCCAGCCTCGAACGACGGAGATCGAACGTCCACGCGTTCCACCGTGGCGTCTATGATTCACCAAACGCGCGCGACGAGGAAGAACCGTAGAGAAGCCGGAGAGAGAAGAAGAAAGACGGAGAGACTCATTATCGTGGAACGAGCATCGAGAGTTAACGTGACTTTGCGAAATAATCTCGGTCGCGAGCGCGTTAACGCGAAATCAGGCGTTCCGATCGTGAGACGAGGCGAAAAGACGAAGCAATCGTCCTAGTCGTCGTCGTCGTCGTCGTCGTCGTCGGTGAGATGCCATTTCGCGAAGCGAAACCCGGTAGGGATCACCTTGATCCCTGAAATGTTAGGTGCTCGACGTCTCTCCGCATAAAACTATCTGTCTCCATCGGGACGAGAAGGCTCGCGGGTCGGCTCGAACCTCTCGCTACCCGTCTCGCGGAATTAGATTACGTATCTCGCGTTGGCCCCGTGATTTATTTCTCGCGGCGGCCTCCCCGAGGCATGCTGCGCCGTTTCAACACCTTTCGACGCGTGTATTTACGATTACGAGAATTACACAAGGCAATTAGAGCCAGCCGACCGCTGTAAATACGTGTATAGTAATTCTGAGCCGCTGTCCACGGTCGACCCGCTTTTTAAATTACGCGGTTCGCTCTGGAAAATCGAGCGATGCGCCCGATACTCGCCCGATAAAGGATCAGCAAGATAGTGGACAGTTTCCACCATGTCGTACAATCTATCGTGTTCCTTCCAACATCAAACGAACCTTGCGGTTTTCCATCTCATCTTCGATGAGAGAAATTAACTTGCCCTAACTAACCTCGATTAAATAACATTCTTATTAATTAATGCTCCGCGATTGCGACTCACGAGACAGTGAACGCACAATCGAACAAGGAACACGCACATCGGATCGGCGAAACTTGAGCGTGGGAATATAGCCTGCTTCCCAGAAATATCGAACGTGGCGAACTTCGAAATTCGTTTTCGTGATTGCCAGGCGTATTTCGAGCGCGTTCGGAGCCGCCTTAGAGACGGTTATTGACGCTCCATAGCGCCACGAAATTGCACGCGCGTCGTGACCACGCCACACAGAGCGGTTTCTAAGGGGCAGAGCGAAAACGCGATGCGATCGGCGAACGGTTACCCCGGCGTTCGATCCATCGGATCTCAGTTACCGAGGGTTAGGAGCCTCTCTCGGATCGAACCACACGCGGCCCCGGATGGCTCATTTTCACCTGGGGTTACCTTTGGCACACAATCATCCGCCATTAAGCCCGTCTGCAAAAATTTGCGAAAAACACCTCGGAATATCCCTTTACACGGGGCGAGCGAGAGGCCGATCTCGTGGTACGCGCATAACCCGTCCGCGGCTCGGGTATATCACGAATAGCCCCGTGATCTCGCGGCATGATCTTTCAAGATCGAGAGTAACAGCTCCGCGTGGACGAAGGATGGGGAGACAGGAAGGCAGGGCGAGAAACTGGAGGGAGCGAGACGCAGGCAGAAAATAAGGCGGTGTTAAAGGAAGGCGAGATGAGAGGGGGAGACAGAGAAGGAAAGAGGAAGGGAGAGAGGTGCAACGAGTGCTAGATCTCGAGCAACGATCGGAGATCATCTTCCCTCTTCGACCGGCTCTTCTTCTCGTCCACGATCCTAGAAGGAGGCGGCGGGGGCGAAAAGTACGAAGCGTCGCTCCCGCCGCCGCCATTATCAAATTATTCACTCACACCGAGCGCCATCTATCTTCAGGCCTCGCGGTCCTAACGTGTTATTATTTGATCCTCACTTTGTTAGCGATCTGACTCTAACAGCCTCGCGATATGTACCTGGTAGATCCTGCTCGGTGATCTGGAGTACTTCTCACGATCTCGCGCCACCAGCTTGCCCGAGACGCTTTCAGGAACCACCAGCGACTCTCTCGCCGCGCCGTACCATCGGCGTGGACGCTCGTGCACGCCAGAAGCTGCTGTTTGTTCTACGAGGAACATCAGGGGACCACGGGATGGAAACTCGCGGTGGATTCGAGAGAAAGATCGGGCCGCGAGATAACCGAGAGATGGTCTAGAAGAGCGAATAACCTATTAATTTACAGGACCGAGCATCAACGGTTGGAATTGATAAAAATATCGGCCTTCTTTCTAAATACGCGCAATCTCCCTAACAAAAGCTTTCTGCTTGTAAAGATAGAAACTTCTTCCAACTTGCCAGAGACCAGGACAACAGTGACGGCTGTAACGACCGAAAAATCACCGAAGAGTTTCACGTGACCGAAAATATATTCGACCGCCTAGAGAGGCAAAACACTAGAGACCGTGAGAGGAGCAAAGGTCGAGAGGTTACAGCCGAGGTACCGTTCCGCGTGCGTGTATATTGTATATTCCGCGGGGTACGGAAGGTGAAGCAGCCGACGGCGGGTGTTGCACCACGACTCCCGCCGTTTTTCACGGGAATCGCCACGAGGTGAGACAGGACGGATCGCGAGAAACGGCGTTGGCAGCGCCGCGGCGAGAACAAGGGCAAGCCAAGAGGGATCAGAAACGACGAAACTCTAGGGCTAGGGAAGACGAAGACGAAGACGAAGACGAAGACGAAGACGAGGCCGCAGCTCGTGAGGCTCAGGCATAGGTAAGTGGTACTTATGTTTAATACTCGAGTGTGGATGAGTGGTCGGTCCTGCACGCGATCTTCGTGTCGGCTCGTTCTTTCTTGACCTCGCGTTCTTTGGAACCAATTTCCGCGGATAATACGAGCGCTCCGTGAATCCCGAGAGAACGTTCCTTTAAATGGAGCACCGATTTCGACGAGTCTCTTCTCTTCGACACGCGCTATCGCTGCTATATTCTTCATATCCTTTATTGCGTGTATATGTAACTCATTCTGATATATGTAACTCAAGTGTTAGAGAGTTAGCTTTGGCGCGAAAAGAAAATGCATGGTTACCGAAGCACGTTTGACGTGCACTAAAATTCTAATAAAATTTTGTAGCATTCACTTCAATAAAATCTTCTTCGTAGACTTTACGAGGATTTTTACGGCCAACCACATGTACCAAACTGGTAGTAGAGTTTCGTAACGTTTCACATTAACAGAAAATAACTCCTCATAGAACGTGCAGATATTTTTGCGGCTGACTGTGTGTATCAGAGTAAGAAATTATTATTTCAGTGTCGAAATTACTTTATACGCGTCTCTGCTCACCCTTGCCAGCCAGTGTTCACCACAATTAAAATTTCTACACATATTATTATCGGAATTAAGGTTAATGTCGTCCATCTTGATGATGAGCAGAGGGGAAAAAAAAAAAGCGGTTAAACTTGCGACTTCTGTTCGAAACGCGCGGGAAAGTGAAAGGCGCGAAAAGGCCGCGTCGTGCCGACGTGAGACCAAATATAATCGAACGTTTACGTAGCCGTGAGTAATTGCTCCCCACGGTCGAAGCCGCGATAATCTCGAGACTCGTTAAAAATCGTGCTAATCCAGCCTGTCGTTAACGCAGATTCGAACGATCTCTTTGATATCAATCATTCCGCGCGAGAGCAGTGAGAAAATTCTCGTTGAAGATTTGAATCGTTCGACGATTCGTTTGTTCCGAAGCGTGGAACTAGCCCAAGGAAGCGCTGAACGACTGTCGAGCGGTAAACATAGTATCTTGAAACGATCGATAGACGGAAGGCAATCGTTTTTTAGACAAAAGAACAGCAGCACAACATCGTCCCGGCCACAAGAAAGCTTGCGCGAAATTCCAAGTAAATCATCAAATTCACAGTAGTTTTTATCGCCAGAAATCCAATAGCAAAACTCTATTATGCCTCTTCACTATATGAGGAATCCCATGTACGCACTTTGTCTTTTAGCGGCACTTTGCGTACGACAGCATGTGCAAAATAACAGGTACGAATTACGAGCGTTGTATCGAAGAAACGAACGGCCTGAATTAATGAAATATGCGTTTTAACGACACATCGTCACGTCTACAGGATCGAGCAGCCACTAACGAAAGGCGTGTCGCTTCAAACTCCGACGTCGGTGCTGACGAAACCGAACGAAGCGAGTTTGAAGGTCGTAACAAACTCGAAGAAAGAAATTCACAGCAGAAAAATTAACGAGAAGAGGGAAGTGAACCTCGACGACGCGGAATCGTTGATTCATTGTGTGCAGAACTTTGCAAATCGGGCTCGGAGAATCGCGGACAACATCCGATCGAGCATACCGGTAAATTTCATTTCGCATTTACTTGTCACTTGTTCGTAATGCAGAAAATTGACCAGGCGAAATTATTTGACGATGTCAAGTTTTATTCTTTCTTTTTTCTTCTTTTTTTTTTTTTTTTTTTTTAATCGGTAAACGTTGAGAATAGTGAAACTTTTGTCTTTCGAAATTTCAATTAACTTAAACGTCACTATTCTTCGTCAGGTTTCAAAGTCTGCAGAGTACATCGATCCGCTAGCATCGTCAAATATTCTAGATTCGTTGCTATACTTGACGAGCAGCATTGGAATCAAATGGCTAGCCTGATACGATCTACGATGCACTGAGGACTCATTGCGGAACAGTTGTTTGACAAAGATTTACGTGAATCGTGAAGGGGGGGAGCGATTCGCGAATGATCTTCGACAACCAACCGTAAGAATATAGATTGAATTTCGTTGTCCTATCATCGATGCCAAAACTATCAGACTTGACCTGAGAAACTGATGAAAGCACAGTTTCTTTAGGATTGGAAAACTGGTTCGCTGTTGCGCGCTCAGAAGGCGCCAACGAGCGCGCACGCGCCGAGTCTCAAGTCTACGCATGCGTATGATAATTACAACATTGCTTGTGTAAAGATATAAACGTTGCAACGATCATGAATAAATAAATTTTCGTAACACGTAATGTAGAAAGAAACGTGGTGTTATTTCTTTATATGAGATGGAGCTAATCGATTTCCGTTTCCCACACCCCTTGGAAACTTCATCCTGGAATATCAATAACGAACCACCTGAACTTTCGCTACGTTTTCACGAGACAGATGTCCCTACGTTACGTTTCACGAGACACGTTCCCTTTCCCCACAAAAAAAAAGAAAAAAAAAAAAAAAGAAAAAGAAAAGGAACCTGCTTGGCCATCGTACACAGATATTTATCACTGGGATCTCTTTTCGTGATCCCGGAGCGTGTCTCGCAATCCACCGGCCGGGAGCGGTCGAGCGGATTTCCAAATCTTCGGCCCCGAGGTTCGTGGCGGCTGCGGGCGAACCCCGGAGCTGGAGTACAGCCGGGGCTCATTTGAATTTTCCCGGACAGGATGTGCACCGTGTGCATTTCAATCCCCGACCGGGGACACCCCGACGAATTATGGTCGAGCGAGATGGCCCCCTCCGGAGGCGCGAGGAACGAACGAAGAGAGAAATGGTATACGCGGATGGTAGTTTAAGAGCGAACGCCCGGTATCCAGGGCACGTCCGGAGCGCTAACAGAACTTATTGTCGTGCGCGCGGCTCGCCGGGGCATTTTAATATTTCCGCTGAATGCGCCGAGAAAACGGTCGAACGTGGCCAACTCGGCGACGAGAAAACGAAAGGAGAGAAAAAAAAAAGCGAAGGAAAGAAAAGAGAGAGAGGGGGAGAGAGAGAGAGAGAGAGAAAGGTAGAGATACGCGCAGACCAGAGGCGAGGAATTGTTACGCGACACTGCCACTGGTCTTGCTTTTTCGACTCCGTGACAGGTGGAGTAGCCACGGGGAACCCTTTGTTTTTTCTACAGAGTGAGAGACTGCTTGCTCGTCGAGACAACACCAAGCACCGTTTAGAGAGGCTGGCGCCACGAAGCGCATAACGATACTCGAATTTAAATATTCACTCTCGGCCCGCGTTGAAAATATATTGCCGACAGTTCGTTCCCTCCTCGCTTCTCGTCCAGACGAGCCCCGGCCCGAGCAATCCTTTCTTTACCACGAATTTGTGTGCGAAGGTTTTGCGAGCTGTTGCTACTTCCAACAATTAGCATGGTGGACGAAGTTTTGGAAGGGAACCGATTGTGCCTTGAATGTTTCCGCCAAATGGGACGCCGCATTGGTCACTTCTTTCTCATGTTTATTGCGTACTCTATTGTGTCGTGAACCTTTCGAACTTTTATCGTATATCGTCAAGACATAACGGCGAGTGCTGCCGACTGGAGTGTAGTCTTACGCCGCGGAGTCGAAAGATTTTTAAGTCGTTTATTTTCACGACTAGTCGATGAAAAATTTGTACATGATCAGAGCTCATCGACTTTACTAAATTCCTCGCGTATCCTACGCGTTCTAGGCTTCAATTGCGCTAGAAAAAAAAAAAA